AAAAGATTGGGTCGGACCTTCTACTCGGGTGGTGGTATCTCAGCTGGATAACACCCGTGCGTGGAAAGACCACGTATCGGGCCTTGGTGTGAAGCTTGAGGGCGGACTGCTCAAAGATGAAGAGGGGAATCACTTCTTCCTCAGCTTGCAACGTCGAGGCTTGGGATTCCACCAATTCGTTCCCACCCAAAACTCTTCGGACTCCCAACTCCCAACTTGAAACGGTTTCTGGATTTGAAACCCTGTAGATCTCCCATCGGCATTTGTGGATAAGATCAACTCTGGGTCTTACAGAGGGCAGCCCAATGGTGCGGACGTGATGACGTTCATAAAGAAGTTTGTGTGTGACAACACGTTGGCGCAAGACCCACTTTTGACAATGACCCATGGGCGTGCTTTCAACTATGTGTCATTGCCTTCAGAGAAGAAATTCAGAAGCAAACAAAGTAACGTGTTCTTATTCCTTGTCATGTCATGTGGTCTTCCAAAGAAACTTCCTACTCGAGAACCCGGGCTCGCATGTCCAAGGATGCTGAACAACCATCGGGAATCGACCGCGGCAGATTGGAAGAAATTTGCACGGGCTGTCGAGCTGTGTTATGGACACAAGTACAGAAGGGCCGTGGAGTACCTAGAGAATCTAGCAAATAATGCTTTCTGGAGAGACTCAGAACTGACTCCTCTCCCTTGGCTACAGGAAAATCCTCGAAGTGTGGATATCCAAGAACCGAGATTTTTGCTGCAACCGGCAGTGCTGAACGCATTAGCCCCAGCAGTGCCACTCAGGGCCATCTTCAGTGGTGACCGCCGAGTGTAGAAAAGGAGAAACCTATTCTTCACCCAGCTCTTATGGGATACTTGGGAACCAAGTGTTTGGGGGTCATGGATTTTCTGTTTGTGTTCAATTCCCTTTGGCCGCCTTTGTGGCCCACACCCCAAAAGGATTTGTGAGGGAATCCTGGGAAAGGAAAACAGAAAGCGATTGGTGTTATTGGATGTTTTGGTTCTGTGTGGTGCGGTTCCCGTCCACGATTGTCGGTGCACCGGAACCGGTGTGACCCCGAAAGTCGGTGCACCGGAACCGGTGTGACCCCGAAAGTCGGTGCACCCCGGGTTCCCGGTCAACCAACATCGGTGCACTCCCACCTTCTCACACGCCCAGGTCGGTGCACTCGCGTCAACCCACTCACTGAAGTCGATGCACTGGGGTGAGCCCAGTGCATTGACTTTTAGGGAGACCACTTACAGGGAACACAGGGATGTCCATGCCTGGGAGTTGCACTCACTATACCTGGCTGCATTGAACTTGTGCTGGGTTCCCCAACTTAGGATCAATGCACTATGCTGGGCCCAGTGCATTGATCCTTTAAGTAAAAAATGTCGAGCGTCAATTTTTTTATAGATTTTAAACGAAAATTGATGGCGTGTTTTTTTCAAAAAGGGATCAATGGACTGGGGCTAGCCGAGTGCATTGACATTGTGTCCAAACCGAGATAACAAAGTCAATGTACTCAGTCAATGTTTTTTGCTTTCCATCTGTTCTGCTCAAAGTGATTTAGGGGAAATTTGAGATCGAGTGCAGCCCATGGCGACGACCTTTAAGCAAAAGGCCGAGGAACGGCTGCAGCTGGTGAAGAAAAAGGAAGAGGATGGCGGCCACAATGCAGACCCACCTACAAAGCGAGCTTGCACACAGGTCGACAAGCTCATGAGCAAGATGGGACCAGGTGACCTTTCTTTGGTGAAGGCTGGTATGTACTGTGTAGCTGTGTAGCTGAGAAATATAAAAACAACATGCAAGTTATGTGCGTCACCAAAGTTTCCCAACCAAAATAAAACCAAGTTCCCCCAGGCCCTTTGGGACTATGTCGTATCATTCAAGAAGGAAGACATAGAGGAATCTGCGCACCCTGCGCAACTAGTGGTTGACCTTTTTGGGTGTGATGATGACCATCATCGGACTTTGCAATGTCAACAGCTTGAAGCATGGTACGCTGAGTATGCCAAGTTCCGTGGTACAAGTTACCTTTTCAAGGCACCAGGAATGGCTCCTTGTTTCAAATGTCAATCTTCTTGTTTGCACATACCTCTGTCGCACGTTTATCATACACTGTGTGTGTGTGCAAAAAAGTTGACGACAATGTTTCCTGCCAAGCAAACCTTCAAACGCATGGTGATGCAAACTACTCAGGAGATGAATCCTTCCATGCATGGCGAAACCATCAAGCTTCCGATCACTTGCTTGCGGTTAGGTTCTCGGTGACGTGCGCTTCATCCTGTGTTGTTGGGGATGCCAGTGTTCACTATACATGTCCCTTGGAAATTTTTAGATTTACTTTGAAGTTTGTAGCCTCAGGTTTGACAAGCCAGAGGACGGATTGCCAGTCATGGAGGACTGGATGGCCACATTTGAGTCCATGTTGTTCAGTGGAATTGACCTTGGACGTGAGCCACTGGACACATCCATGGAGGGTGGTCGAGGTTGGGGGTTAAATTGAAAGGTGACATTTGCATTGCACAGTTGTTGTTGTTGTTGTTGTTGTCTGTTAAATGTTGTATTTTCTTGTTGGTTTTTCTTTTTTGCTCCCATCAGATTTTTGGCTGTGCGACCGGCAGAGCGTCCACCAAGTCAAAGGGTGGACGCGCAGCTCGGTGGTAGCGACAATCCTCTTGGCTGCTTCCGAGCTTGACCTGACAGATGCTGCGGCCCAAGAGCAGGTCAAACCACTGGTGAAGATCCTCGATCGCGCTTGGCTCTTGCCGTGCCATGTGGCTGGTTGGATTTACTGCTGTAGAAATGTGTTTACCCTATTGCTTTTTGTGGGTTCACTGTCGCAGTTGTTCTTCATGCTTGCTGTTGTTCTTCAATTGCTAAGATGGCATTCGGAATGACTGCCTCGGAGCGATCATTCCGAAATCTAACTCTCAGCTACCGCGGCTCGGAGAGGCAGCCGCCAAATGTGCTGCAATTGGCGTTGAGGTTCTCCCGAGTCATGGAATTGGATGAGGGCAGTCACCCACCTGGCACCAGCACAGAAGAACGCCTGATGGCGGTCGTGCATCAGTTCCATGACTCAGAGGGTCTGTCCCAGAGACACAGGATGGACGAGGACAAGCTGCGATCAGTATATAACCTGATTGCAGGCAGCAGCAACGTGTTTGGGACTTATATTCATTCACCTTGTCATTTTCCTTTTTTCTTTTGAGTGGAAAGTGTTTGTTTAGTTGCATTGGTTCTTGTTTGGTTTCATTGTGTCATTTTGAGGAAGCGCGGGAAGTGATGCGCGCTCACCTGGACAGATTCAAATGGAAGGAGGCTGCCCTAAACACAGAGCAGCTGAGATCAAATCGGTGGATGATTGGGGCGTCCCCCAAGGCAAGCGCTTGTCCAGCGGAGTTGAGGCGGTGTTTAACCGTGACACCACAATCCCAAGTGATGCACCTCAAGCTCATCATCAACATCTTTGTTGAAGGTGGTCGCCGCTTCAGGACGTCAGCGCGCTCAAGGCTCCGCATGTCCAGTGACGTCTTTGATGCTCACGCAGACTACGCCTGCATTTACTCAGCTCTCTTGGTAGAGGCCCGGCAGCTAGCTTCGTTCACGCCTGAAAAAGAGGCTCAGATCATGAAGGCCTTTTATCAGCGGTCGCTAGGATGTAATTTGTGAAATGTTAAACCTTTTGTTTGTGTGACAGTATTTTGTTTGTGCAATCTGTCAGTTGATTGGGCTGTTTGATGAATCTGAGGGATTACAAGTCCGATGTGGAAGCCATTGTTGCATCCAAATTGGCCACTTGGAAGATCCAACACTTTGGGCTGTGGGCTGATGTCGTCGAGACTCCAACTGGCCCGCCGCCGTGTGTGGCAACCGCTGCTGAGTTGGTGGACTTAGAAGATCAAGCACAAGCTGCGAGGTATCGTGAGGTGAGGGCCAAGATGGCCCAAGACTGTGCGGCCATGACCTTGTACAACTCCCAAATGGAGGAGAACAAGCGCAGGGCTCATGTGGTGCACGTCATGCGCCAAAAGGGGCAGCATGAAGTTGGCGCGGAGTTTCTCATCTTACTATCCTTCAGAGTAGGTTTTGCTCAGAAGATGTTTTTTTGGTTTATCCTCTACAATATTCCACATGCCATGTGTTTATCTCAACGCATCTCAGTCATTTCAGGCTTTGTCAGACCTTCATGACCAAGTGCTGCCGGGTCTCGCTGCTGATGGAGAAATGCTTTGCAGACCCGTGTGCTGACACCGTGTTCCGGAATTTGGCTGCTGCCAAGAAGGCTTGTAGTAGTTTGCATTCCTTTGGGTTGGACTATGTTCGCTATGTTGCTGGTCAAATGCATAAAACATGTTGCAAGGTGTCCGTCTCAGACCTTGAGACAGTTATTTGGATTGATTGCACGAAGATGGGTGTGATCAGCCAGTCAGAAGTGAACCTGATTGGGGATGTCTGCGACAAGATGCTCTTCAAGAACCCATCCCGTGAATTTCTCAGACGTGAGTTTGCTGTGAATTGTTTGCCAGGAAGTTGCTTGCCTCTCAGCACTGCATTGTGCTTTGATGCAGGTTCAAAACCAAAGATAAGGGTATGTGTTTTGATTTGCCCAGGATCAGTCCTGGTGTTGATCCCGCCCCTCTTAGTGGGCGCAGACTCTGGTGGCAGTCTTCGCAAAGACATCAGGAGTATGAGTGTTCGATAGTCCTCCTTGTCCAATGTTCTTTATTGGCGGTGGAAAACTGTGTTGTATGTCCATATTATGTCTTGGGGTGGTGCCACAAAGTGCTTTGGAGGAGGCTCGAGGATAAGCTCATTGCCAACAAGATCGAATTGAGGCCATTTACCCTGAATCTGAGCCTTGATGACCTCCACAAGAACCGTGAGTTGCCCAGCGCCTACATTTGCTACCTGGGTGTGCCAGACTCTACGCTGCCTCTCAAGGGCACTGCCCACAGAAGCGTGCGCGGTGCGCCCGAGATCGAGCATCAGGTGAACTTGCCCCTTCTTTGCTTATAGTCACACTTTTTATGGTTGCCGGGGTTGGTTTTTGGCTGTCTGATTATTTCACTGAATATGTCTTTTCAAATGTTGCTTGTCCCCAGGTTCTGCGGCAGCATGCTGTGGCAAAGGCAGTCCCTGCCGACGCCCTTTCCTGGAGCATTGTCGGAGAAAGAGTTCGTGGTGCCAGGTGAGTCGCTCCTCTCCAACGACACCAGGCGCAATCTGACAGACTTGCAAGAGACAAGTCAGTGGATCGGAGGAGGGCGGGTGCCAACTGCGATTCTGACCGCGCTGTTCAGCCGCTTACGCATTGACTTGATGGTATTGATGCGTTTTGTATGTTGTTTTGATTTGTTTTGTGTGATATTTGTGTTTTGGTTTGCTGTGATGATATTGGTCACTAGCTCTCATTGGAGTGATTTGAGGTGGAGTGAAGGCACCGCAGGGAGCTGTCGTTCTGCATCCCACTGCCTACGATGGTTGCTTGGAGTTGGCAGGGATGAAGCTGGGCCATGCGATTCTGAGTTCCAGTCTCATTGAAGCGAACTACAAGTGTACCAATGAGATTGTGAAGTCTCATCTTCTGCAGGCACCTGTCGCCAAAACCATTGCCATCCATTGCATGTGTTTACATTACTGTAATAGTTGTGGGACTGTTTGGGGTGGCAATTTCACAGTTTATTGCTTGCAAAATTGCACACGCCCTGCACAGGCATGGAAATCCAACCAAGCTCCAATGGACAAGTACATGCCCAGGTACAAGAAAGATCCGTCCCCTGAGGATCTTCCACAGGGCGCGTCAAAGCCTACGCTCAAGATCTGCCAGGTGGCAGAGGACAGCAACAAGCTGATCCTGCCAAAGGACATCAGGCACCAATTCCTCTCTTGCCCAATATGGGGGCAAGAGTGGCGCGACGTATTGACCAACTTTGACAAGTCCTGGGGTGCACCTTTGGCAGACACTCCATCTCCATCGAAACCAAGTCCGATGAAGACAGAGACGCCGTCACCAATCAAGCAGGAGGGGGATGCAGAGTATGATTGGAAGTCTGCCTTCCCGGGTGAACCAGACATGTTTGAGAAGCTCAAGGAGAAGGTTGGGGGCGCAGAGAATTTCACTGAAGTGGCAGGGCCAACTTCCACGACTACGTTCATCATTGCACCAGGGCCTTCTTTGTATGTCCATGCAAAGGAGCCTGTCAAGTTGCCTTGCAACCCTTTGCCTTTCATCACTCATGGTTGGGCAGAAGGCTACCAAGTTCGAGGCAAACAATCAGGGCAAAGCCATCCCCTGTTCGTTCACTGACGACAGTGCGCCAGTTGTCCTGGAGGATTCAGTTCATGGTGCACTTGTATTTTCAAATGTTTTCAAGTGTGTTCAAATGTATTGTGAAATGTTTGTTCTTTGTGATTCTGGTCAGGACGATGGATCCGACACCAATCCGATGGTTCTGTGCGCAGCCCTACAGGCAGTGGAGAAGTCCGGGATGATTGACTTCAGCCTGGCAGGACACACCTGTTGCAGGCCACCAGAAGTCCAGCAAGGCCGATGTGATGATCGCTTTTATGTTGCCCCAACAGATGAGAAGCTGCTATGGAAGGCAAATGCAGTACCGGCTAAGTCCTTGAAGGCATCCAATCTGGCTTCGCATTTCTCTTACCAGCAGCTGAAGGCCAGCCCTTTGGTCCTGGTGGCTTTATTTGCATTTTGCTGGGCAAGCTTTCTGTTCTTGCATTTGTTTGAGCTTGACAACCCAAAGTTCTGTGTTGTTTCGCTGAATTCTTCATGTGGGTCTTTGACTCATTTGGATTCTTTTGAGGTATGGCGGCTTCGCAAGTATGTCACTGAGAAAACGGTTGGAGCGGCGAAGCCGCTGTGGTACCTGCCGGGCGACCTTGGTATGATCCAAGGCGGTGTGCAGCGCGTGATCTAGTTTCCCAAGCTTTTGTCAGCTTGACGGGGTTAACACCAGCCAAACGATGCTTTGGCAAATGCTTTGGTGTGACTACACCTCTGTGTAGTGTGGGTTCAAATGATCTTCAGTTAGCTGAACACACCTGAGCCGTGTAGGGGAGATGTTGAGAAAATGAACTGAGTCCTGTGTTCTTGCTGTGATGTAAGGTGATGGCAGCAATTTGCTGTAAGTTGTTGTGTTGTTTGTTGCGCACCACATATGTCATTGAACAGTATTTTGAAGCTCTTTGGTTCTGTGCGGGCGTCGTGTGTTGTTCTGTGCTTGTCCGCCCCATGACCTCCTGCGGTACTCAGATTGTCTTGGATGATGGCGCCGGTCTGATGGAATATGAACTTCCATCACACACATACCAGGGTTCAAGTTGCGCTCCTTCAGTGGAGAAGAAGCACAGCTTCAGTGTGATCCATGATGCTCCCCGGGCAAAATCTCAATCAATGTTCCTGACAGCCCCCAAGCATGCGGCTTTGGCACAACCTGTGCCATTTTGTCCACCCCCGTGCCTTGCCTTGTGCTTTGAACAGACTTTTGCAATTTGTTGATGATGATGATGACATTTGACATTTGATTGGATGTTTTGACGTTTGACATTTGTTGCTCATTTGTTGATGATGTTTGACATTTGTTGCTCATTTGTTGGATGTTGCTCACCAGGACTGGTGTGGCCACTCCGCAAATGTCACAGAGGGCGGCTACCAGGGAACACTTTGAGGATTCGCAGGCCCCATTTGGTGATGATTCGCAGGAGACACAACCAGTTGATGAAGGTGCTTCGCATCCGTCATTGTCACCATCACCACACTTTGCCTGGTTTGGTCCAGAGGGTTCTGAGTCTCCGGAGAGAACCCAATTGAAGCGCTCTTTGCGCTTTGATGCTGCCAGCTTGGAACAAGTGGACTTGGACCTCTTGAACAAATCCAAACGTGGCAAGCTGTGTGAGCCTGGACCCACTGTGGAGCCTGAGGAAGTGGAGGTGGAACCAAAGGAAGTGGCGACCACACCAGCGGAGCCAGTGGTGCCACCTGTGGTTGCGCCAGTGGTTGCATCTGATCCGCCTGCAGATGTGAGTGCTGCTGAACTGAAGAGAATGGTTCACCGGCAGAACAGCGCAGCTTGGCACCAGCGCTGGGTCAAGAAGGGTGTCCCAAGACCTCAAGCTCAGGATGGTGTCGCGCCTGTTGCGTCTACTGAGTCTACTGCGGCGGCCTCTTCTGAGATGCCTTCTGAGATGCCTCATGTTTCTGAGACGGCTGAACGTCCTGACGCTGTGCCAAGTTTTTCTTCCTTGTCCAAGGCCCGTGATTATTTCATTACGAAGTGGATTGCCGAAAGTGGCCTTCCGAAATCCAATGACCGTCGCAATGCAGCGACCCGGGCTTGGATGGAGAGCAGTTTGAGGGCGAATTTTGTAGCAGGAAGGGATGGAATCCAGCGTTGATAGATGTTCATAGCTGTTTATTTGTTGAATCCGTTGTTCGTGAATGATTGTTTCAATTTGCATGGTTGGTTTGGATTGATTTGGTGGTTGTTGTTTTGCCTTTGTGTAGTGATTGCCTGGATTCCGCGGGGTCTTGGTCAT